ATTTTGTTTTCAACATTTCATAGCTATTGGTTGCTAAAATTTGTTGATTGGAACTTGCAGCTCATTCGCTGTATCTGACGGTCTGTTACCCTATAGGTGGAGAATAACGGACTGTTGTTGGTGAAATTGGGCCTAAGCGCGATAAAAGCAGATTCTACTCGGGGAAAAGTATACAATTTTCGTTCAAGGTCAAATTTTGTGTAAACAATAATCTGTTGATGTTGCTAAGAAACACTCTTTCAACATCATATGGGCTTGGCTTTTTCTAACCTAGTCCGAATTCGTTGCCTTCAACAAGCTTGAGAAAGATTACTAGCTTTTTAGGGGCAACACTCCGAAATTTACGTTTAATTTTTAATGACAGGTTTATTTGTTTTTTACGTTATGTTGACCATTTACGACTTTGTCAATATCAAGAGCGGATCTAGGAGTATTGATGTTTATAAAAATACCCCTTTTAATGAAATTGAAAGTTACCAGACCCACAATTGCGTCAAAATTTGATTGAACAATTTTTTGTAGACAAGTTGAAATTATTATTATTTCGCTCCAGACTAAGCCTTCTTAGTTTACTTTAATGATTTCAAATGAACAAGGTTCTTATAAATTCTCTCTAAAAATGAGAGCTTTCGAGATATAGGTGATTCACTACTTTAAAATGTGCAAAGTGTGTGCCAACTTCGAACATAAAAATCAATATCAAAATGCGAAAAAAGCTCCTCAATATTCAATTAACAAAATTCCAGAGCATTTTAAAGGATATTGTTATTGCAAGCTATTCTTTTTTAATTGTTAATCAAGCCCGCGCTCAATATAAAGATACTCCTCAAAGTTGTGAGCTTTCTTGACACGGCGTACAGACCTTAAAAAATGAGCAGTTATTTCCAGTGACATATACTCCAGCCTTAAGGTTGTTAGGCTCCGGAAAATAAATCAAACCGAAATAAAACTTAATGCGGCCATGCACCTCGATCAGATCATAAGTGAACATGGACTATGCGCATCAGTACTCAATCCAGGCGATGGCCGCGTTGGTGAACAAAACCTTTACACATCGGTTCTAGGGAAACAGAACAAAAATGTCACACTCATACAGCAATATTGGAGATATACAAATTATTTTAATTCAGGTGACTTTCTTCGAAATGCTACCGAGGCTTAGCGTGTGCATGCAGATCATATTTCAAGATCCTCCGTTTGGGGCGAAATGTTTAGTGTATAAAACTGGGATGAACGTGTGCGATTGTAGCAATCTGCTGCATTCGGGAAAGGTAGGCCATTCTAAAAGCCAACATTGATGCTTGGTTACGTCAAGCACATACGTGTGCGTTTGAATCTATCCAGAAAGCTAAGGATAATACTTACAAGTGACATAGCTGTACTTGAAATTTCTTCTCGATGAACGGTGAGTGATTTTTACATTTTCGCTGTCGTTCACAACTCATTAACTTTATTACAAACGTAGTGGTCTCAGAAAAAGTACCAGCTTTCAAAATAATTCGAAAACTATTAACTTTAGAGAAAAATTCATGATAGACTGGAAGGCTGAAAATCCTAAAATACATTGTCTGGAACAAAAGCATAATTTTTGGAACCTGTTTAAATGAAACAGTGCAAACAATTTTTGACGCATTTCTGGGACTGGCAACATGCAGATTGATTGAAGCGAGCCCATTTTGAAATATAATTATTTTTCCAAACAAATGCGAAGATACTCCCTAGATTATTGACCGTTGAGTATTTTAATGCAATAGCTGCTTCTCTAGCTGACTCGTGAACTGGTGAAGGGGAAGGGAAGGAAGGGGTCAGACGTAGATAGAAGAAGGTTGATCGTTGGATGACTACTATCATTATTCGGTATACTCTATTCCCAACCGTCCCAGTGGAAAGAATGAGGGTGGGAACTTGTGCAAACAACAAAACTTAGGATCCCACGGTTCAGAAACTTTTTTGTTACTCGGTTGGCGTGCGGCTTTCGTAAAACCTCACCCTTCATCTCAGGGGAATTGAGAGCTGATTGAATTATAACAATTTTGATGAAAAAAATACAGCCCGTACTAATTACAAAACTTTACTAGTCCACTTAAATCGGATGAAAAATGGTTCGAAGTTTGGAAGAAGTTATAAGTTGTAACGTAGTGATACTTCTGGGCCAACTGCATTCAGTATCTTAAGCTTGAGGCACTAAACATTGACGGAAATTTGTAATTTGTTTTTTTGTGGGGGTAGTTGCTGAATAGATTTTATATTCTAGTGACAGGAGATTCCAGGCAATCCAAGGTAATTTTCTATCCATCTGGGAGGAGACCTAAGGGGATCCGAGGGAAAAACTCACAGAAACCTTATGAGGGATGGCTTTCGACTATTTTTCGAAAAAATATTATGTTGTCGATCTCAACACATACAACTAAAGCTGCCATGTGCCCAGAGAATATGGCTTCGGTACACAAAATGTAATTGTTGATATAGACGGTGAATGGTTCTTGTCATCGCCGCTACCAAACTCGAGTACTGAAAAGGAAGAGAGCAGCGGAATACATCGGATGCCTTAGGACCGCTTTTTAAGGGGGGTCTTCTTTGTAATACTTTTTTCTCGGAGTCTTCAAAAAAAAAAGATACGGATTGTTGAAGTTTAAACATAAAAAACAGATCTTTTTTTTAATATCTTCAAAACCGTGAACTGGAATGAACTAAAATTTGGTATGTATTTACCTAAGTATTGCCCACATTCAAAAGTCTTTACTGAAAATTAAAGTACACCAGTGGCGGAGATACACGGGATTAGTGGCATTATTTTTCCAAATAAAAATAGTACGCCATTGTTTTTTTCCGAAACGCACAATTTCAAAACTTCTATCTATCTTTTTAATGAAGCCCTCGAGGATAAAATGTTACATAGAAGACCCCCTCTTAAAATGCGGTCCTGTGTATGATAACTGATTTTTGGTCACGACTTGTGAATCACCCTATATAACTTTTTGGCCACCCACGTACATACGAGCTAAAAAATTACTCCCCTTTTGAGACAGTCGGGTAAAGACAGTATCCAATATACGCAAGTATATAGTGAGTTTTCCACTGTAAGATTTCTAGACATTTTTAGCACTTGCCTTTAACCAAAAGAAAAACTCTCTGTATTTCCAATCATGAGCAGACAGTCCGAAATTCTTCTACCTGTATATCGGGTCCGCGACTGTCAGCAAAAGTGTTTCGAGAGAAGGCCTCACATATAAGTGGTTTTCAGAGAATATACAGGGTATTCAAATTCAGAAACACCATCATGTAGTGCCTAAAAAGTGCCAATGGAACAGTTAAATTAGTTTTTTGATATCTCTTAAAATAAAGTCAGAAAAAATTAAAATTTGACCAAATTTTATTCTTCCCAAATATCTAAGTAATACATGGAAGTTCCTCATCGGTATGTGAATACACTCCAAAGAACGCAACTTTTTCCTTATTTAACCTAAGCTGTATCTACCACAGGTGTTGAGATCCCTATGCATAAGATCCATATCTTGGACACCATGTACAGTTCGATCTATCGTAGCAGAACGAAATCCAGTAATATTTCCAAATCCATGTTATAAAGTAGAGAGGAATATCGACGAACAAAATTGAGTAAAGATTGTTCGAGTAGTGTCTGCAAACACTCGAAATCCGTTAGGAGTAGATTTATCTTTGAAACGGAGTTTTCTCCAGGAAGTATTCTGGTAATGGTTTTGTTTCCCGTTCTTTCGTTCCCCACGCATTCCCTTTTTATAAGCCGTAAAACAGGACAATGATCCAGAACAGGACGATTCTCAAGAAAATGTGTAAATTCAGGATGGCTGTAAGCCAATTCAATAAAACTCAACTGTTGTTTTTAGGTACATGCGAATTGTGTTGTTGTAGACAGAGTATGTTCGCAAAGTTAAAATAGGTGTTTTTTATAAACAAAAACAAAACAACTTCAGATCATTCCCTAATTTTGTTTATGTATGCTTTAAAAACTTCTACGAGTAAAACATTTTTTCGAAGTGATTTTACAATGATTCTGGAAACTTGCCGTCCTAGGTTCTAATTACTTCAGGTAATTAAAAAATGTGTGTGTCAAGGTTGTTCAGTTTGTATATGGTATGGTCAATATTTCCAATGATATTAAGGTCTACGTTGGAGACCACAATAATGAATTATTGCATCAGAGCTCAAATTTGACTCCCTTACTTACAACATATACCAGGGCTTTTTCTTCTGCATAGCGATAAATTTTCTCAACTCCAGCAGCAGTTCCAGCAGACAGAACGTACAAATATTTGGATATAGAGCTAGACCGTAAGCTCAACTTATCCAACAGGTGAAAACGCAATGTGTCTCGAAGAAATCATGAGGAGCAGACCCGGCTATAGAAATAACATTGTACTAGGCGCTTATACGTTCCAGGATCCACTACGGTTGTATTTTCTATGACTCTGCATTTAAGAGTAATCTTTTGAAAATAGGTCAAATTTAATATCAGACCTTGAGGATCTGCTTGAGCGCTCCTTTCTAATGGAATTCTAACTGACTGACATGTACCTTTATTAGAGCTTAGAAGCTGCATTCATCCTTAGCTACCAAAGATATCAGAAAAATAAAAATATGAAATTAGTTACTGTATAACTTCAAAAATTAATACCGAGGACCTGACTAATCCATTCTGATGAAAGAAGAATTCTCCACCTTTACTCGCAGCATATACAAACACTTAGGATCTATTGAAAAGTATTGAAATGCAGCGTCGGTTGCCATTTTATCAATTTGTACCATATGGTTTTACAAAAAAACATGTAATTCCAAAATTGTAATGAAATTCCCGCCTACAACCAACTCATACTGAAAACAGTTTCGTAGGATATTAAGCTAGAAATCACAACCTTTTGTGAGGGATCAAAAACGTTCGTTGGAGTGGAGATGCTTTTGTTATTCTGGAAATAAATATCATAGTGAGAGTTTCCAATTTGTGTAACATTTTTACCACAGAATCAGAGTGTTGCATTGATTGTAATATTGAAAATGTTTCCATCCTTTTTGATAACTACCTGATATGTTACATCAAATCCTTTGTATCTATATTTTGTAGGCGTGGTTACATGGTCTCTTTCGTTTGGGAGAAGGAACATATAAGAATAGAAATATGTATTATTGAATATTATTTTGCTTACTATAACATATAAAATGTATGCAGAGTGGAAAAAGGTGTGTCTTCGCGCATATGAAAACACGAGAACTGCTCATATCCAGGAATATGTTCATAGTAAAGACATGTTTCCACTATAACAAAATTCCGCCTTAACCACGGATATTTCACAAATCAGTTACATAAGATAGGGTTTAAGAACTCTTCCTTTTGCGAGCATGATGTCCAGATAGCCGACATGAACCATATACTATATGGATGCTTAAATAATAAACCACATAGAAATAACCCGATTTCAAATGTTTATTGATCGAATCCCTCACTTGTATTAAATAAGCGCTTTAACACTTTATATTTATAATATAATCTGTCGCAAATAAACCTCAACCTCAATGAAAACCTCTAAAAAAAAAACAAATTAGTATCTGTAAAGAAGTCAGAAGTAAACTAGTACCGTTTTCTACTGTATCTTCTGATTTTGTACAAGTTTCATATGTTCCAGTGAACTTCGGTAAGTCACACAATTAGCAATAACCCTGTATGACTGATATTTGCAAAGCATGCCTCCCTTCACACGGCGGTATAAACTTTCAGATAATTTTAAACCTCTTCCTGCTTTGTCCAATTAAGAGATATTTTATCTTTTAGGAGAGAGGCAGGTTTGCAAATCCCTTTGTCAGAGACCATTTAAGGGGAACAGAGGATGTCTAACAATGTTCTCTTTGATGTCTCCTCTGTAGACTGTCTCCTTCATATATGTTTGTTCTACTCTATATACAATTTTTTCGCTCTTTACTTTGTAACGTTTTCCATTATCTTGTATATACGCCTTTAAAATAGGGTGCGTCGACAAATCATACTTTGTTAAAGGCTATCAAGATTGGCACGTCTTTATCATTTTGAGGCGTAGTTAAAAATATCATACATAGGTCCACAAAATAAAAAAAGCGGTGTATGCTTGGGGTCCGACTATATTTTCTCCATGCACGGCTTTAAACTAAACATGAATTTGAAGTCAAACGGGAAAGGTGGACAAATATGGAAGTAGACACAATTAAAAATGTTCTTAGTTTTGGTGAATGTGCATCTTGCCAGAAGCCGCGAAAGGGATGACCAATTCGCCAAAACTGACAAAATGTGTGATGTCTGAATTAATTTCTTATTTGTCCACCGCCCATGAATTTTGACTCCATGTTCGTGTACAGCGTGAAAAAGTACATAGGAAAAACATAACCGGATCGCAAGCACTCACCACTTTTCATTTTGTGGGCCTGTGTCTTTTACAAAGAGATCAAATTAAAAAAACACAAAGCTCTATGTGTCTTATAAAACTGGCTTTGCCCTGGGTTTTTGTACACTGTGAAGGATCCAGTGATGACAGGGCTACTGATTATGGCTAGAAGCCCCGAGTCTGTAATAGTGTATTCAAATCTCAATTACGGCTCATGAAAAAAAAAAACACCAGCGCGTGACACTTGCGTTGGCATGCAAATAGAAGCGCCCGTGTTTGTTTTTACGTGGAGCAAATGACGTTTGAGTAGACCTGAGACCTGTTCGTACAGCTGTCATCAACCTGTCAGTGATCATGACCAACATCCCGCCACCCAAAATCCGTTCATTCTGCTACGCTATTTAGTCTAAATTCACACGGCCGGATCCCGGACAGTCACCGACCACTGGACGAACAAACCACATCATGTAGGGTATTGGCAAGTCTCTATTGCCCTCGATGAGGTTGCATATAGAGGAGTGGGTAAGGCATTAGTAATGTTAAATTTCGAATGAACATATTCTCGTTCGTTTTGAATATTGAAGTCGGATAATTCCGAATACTTACTAGGACGACCGAGTATGCAACGGTATAGCTTACAAAAATCATGTGAATTGGATGATTTTTTAACCTAAAAGGAAGCAGTATCGAATTGCTTGACTGTGTTGCAGCTGATGTAACTGGTCGTATGAAAATGAAATCGGAATTGAATTATCGTGTAACCGTAAGACTGCAAATGCAAATACCTGCGCCAGCAGTAGGTTCAGCCTGCCTAGAATTCAAGTGCGGAACCACCTTATGAAGGCGAACTAGCGGTATTATACAAATATTATATCTCTGGGTAATTCATTTTCTCTCTCATCATGATATCGAATATTAGGCATTATTTTGTCAGTTAAAAGTGAATAGTTATTCACAAATCTCTAAACCGGATCTGCCTACCTAAATAATAACAATGATATTATAGTCTATACAGTTCGACGTAAGAAACTTAACCCGAACATATGTACGCATAATTCACGTCATCGGACTACAGAACGCCGAGCTAACATTAACGGCCCTTCGAGGCTGCATGCACTGCCGTGTCGACTTCCACTTCACCTTCCTGGTTAGGTATTGGTTCTGTATATGGGCTTGAGCATATCTGACAAATAACAATTATGGTCCCCGTTTCTTGAAATATAACAACGTGCTGAACACGCGTTGGTTATTGTTCTGGTTTAATGTTATTCTTGGACAAATAGACTGTACTGATTATCGAGGTTAATACCTGCATCAATTTAGTCAAACGGTATTCGCACCAACTAGGCAAAATGATGAATCAATGTATGACGGATATCTTTATATTTAAATTAAAGAGTATAGGGCGGCCATCTTTGCAAAAATTGTTTCGATCGAGCTCAGAATTAAGTTTCATGTGTTTTTAATATCGTTAATAATGAACTGAATATCGATTCTTGAAAACTCTGAATGCGGATCCAGTATGATGATTACCTATGTTTGCAAAAAAAATTGTCTATTGCGCTCAAATTACAGGTTTATATGATTTCAAGGTATAATTATATTGTATAATGTCGCATTCTGGCCAAACTTGCAGTCATTTGCAGCCAAAATTGACATATTTCTTAACTATCGTAATAGTGCGGACTCTAATGTTCTTTCTTAATTCACTAATTACAGAAAAAATATCAATTACATATTGTTGCTGTATAGCGACATATGTTGATTGGCAAGTAATATGATGCCATATCATAACTATACATACCCCGACTATGCAAACCATTTTGCCACATATCGATACTGCTGATTATTTTAAAAAGTGAGGCTATTCGATTATCGGATTTCTTGCACTGTTGGCCAAGTTTTTTTTGGTTCCGGCACCACGCATATACATTTCCACGCCGAAAAAGAAAAAAATCATCGAGTAGTTTCCGTCTAGCCACGACATAATCACTGCAACATTATTAACATTCCGTTCTCGATAACACCAATTGGGTTATTTATCTATCATTATAGACCCATCACATTCAAACTAAATGCCTATTAAGATCAAAATGATATATACAGCAGTACGTACAATGATATTTACGAAAGAGGCAATTTTATCGTCTCTTGTGTCTGTTCATTACCCTGCACCACTTCCTTCTAATTTTTCTATATTTTGGCAGAGGTAAACATGTTTATTTGTACATGTAGATATACATGTAATACCGTATTTACAAATTAAGTGTCTGACCCATATTTTAACCATTTTTAATCGTAAATTCGGATCAGAGCAACGTTTGTAAATTGCGCATCGTTTCGTGTCACGTGACGTCATCACTCAGTCTCACGCTCTAACAAGATGACTTTTCAAATGAGAAATTTCTGGATAGCGTAACTTCGTGATTTTATGAATTAATCAAAACATTTTCATTGGTGCACCAGACTATAATTTTGGATTTATTTTAAAAAATAGGAATAGGAATATGAGACCTACTTATTTGAATATGATCTGGAAAAGACAAAAAGGAATTGAAGATTCTAGCGCCATCTATGCGACAGTAGCGGAACCAAACACTATAACTATTATCAAACTGGATTTCTACATTCACTGCTATATATTTCCCATTTTGACTGTCGGGATACAACATATTGTTGGTTATCTTCAGGTATGATGCGTTAATCAAAGCTAATAACAGTTATAAATTGGCGTATTGTCGTTATAACAACCATTTTGCTCTCCTAAATCGCGGTGTGTGAAAATGAACGATATATTAGTTATTTGGCCACTCTTTTTCATTATCACGTAACCACCAATAGCACGTTAAGCACTGATATAATTCAACTTTAATCCCAAAATGGCCTGGAAAGAACACCCTGACCCCTCGTTAGGACACAATCCCTACGGGATACACCATTATTCATAATAAACTTTAAGCGAAATTCCGAGACATAATTCACTATTACTACAGTGAACAGTTCATTGTTTCGTGTTACTGTAAGAGAAATAGAGCGTTGAGGCTATAACAGTGCCTGGATACGTTTACAAAAGGTCATTATTGTATCAGCTCGGTTTGTTCGGCAAACTTTGTAACATTGTAACGTACAGAAAGTCCTGGGAAACTAAGGGAGGATGTATAATAGTTTGTCTTTTCATGAGGGGATTGAGCCCTAGATGGATATGCTTTGGTGTAAAAATAATGTTTTCTTGAAAAAGAATCGGCTCGTGCCAAGAAAAACCTGGATAAACAGATGATAGGCTAGAAGATAAAGGCGTGGAACGACGCTCAACTCAACATTATAAATTAGAAGGAGTGGATGACTCAATCACGCCTAAATAGTTGAACGAATCTGGATGAAATTTGGCACAGAGAGAGATCATTATAGTCTGGAATACCACATACGCTGCTTTTTATCCAGGGAAATAACTTTAAAACATCTTTTTCACGGCTCAATGGAATTTTTTAATGAGGTGTCTGGGGGGGAAACCGCTCAGTCGCTGGTCCAACGAAAATGAATCTTGGGTTAGGACATGTTAAAATATGCCGTACAGGCTGTGAAACGTATCATTTATTGTGACTCTGATTACGCACTTGATATTAATTTATTGTTGCATTAAAATGTTGAACAAAAACCATTGTACATTGTCAAAGTAACTATTGCATTACTTTTTGGGTTCTACGTGTTTTCCACATTATTTCATTCCAACATACTAGGTACATCATCTAAAAATCATATTTTCTTCTAGGTTTCTGTTGTTATGGACACACTGTATAACTCGCGTGTGCACGTACTTTCTAACATGTCCAGTGCCGGACTAGAGACGATGGCCCTCACCGAGGAAAGCATCCTTTCGCTGTTGGTCGTACTTGGTAGCAGCGTTTCGTTAGTGGCGCTGGTTTTTGCTTTCATCACATACAGGTAAGAGACATGTGTACTTCAAAGTTTGAACTTTCCAAACGTAATACTTTTACACTTCATACTTAATCCTGAAACAGAAATAAATTCTAATGTTTTGTCAGTAGAAAACGTCTAAATAAGTGGTCTCCAACCTTTTCACTGTGTTGAGCACTGCTGATAATTTTGGAATAATCAGTGAGCTACCTAGTCGTAAGTAATGTAAGCCAACTTAAATGAAATTATACACAGTTGTATGCGTCATGCATGTATTTATTTTAATAATACTAATACATACTAATAAAGTTAAATAAACTAATAACTAATACAAGCTACTTAGCAGCTACATTCATTCCTACCAATCGTAGGTGTTTGAAAAATTAACAAAATTTTTCGTCAGCTACAATGGCATGTCACGTACGATTTAATAAAGGTAACTAGAAATGAAAAAACAACCCACTATTTTAAACAAAAACATGTGTAGTTAAAAAATGTGTGTTCAATGAGAAGCCTGACACTGAGACTCACAGACAATTTTTTTAATGATTGGAGTATAATTTGATACCGCCATTCGATACAATTATCCAAATGCTCATCTGTAAGTCAATTATGGTATTTGTTCTTAATAAACTTCATATTTCAAAAAAACATTCACACAAATACGTTGAACTAAATAACGCTTTCAGTTTCAAGGCAACACGACATAAAACTGAATATTTGTCTTTACTTGCAGAAGACCAGATACATTTTGTATTTGAGACTAATGGTTTTAAAGCTAAGTCGTTTTGAAATGCAATCACTTCCATTTCTGTCGCAGTGATGTTTTCGCTAAAATTCTGCGTAACAGACGTTGCAAACTGTTGGATATCAATTTTCATGAAGGGTGAAACAACAAATTGCACCACTATAGCAATTGCGTTGAAATCCTTGAAATGATTTTTGTTATCCTTCAAGTTTTAGACTACTTCTATAAGATATTTACTATCATATGGTTCTAATGGACTTTCTGAAAGAACAGTCTGGTATCGCCATCGATTAAGTTTTGTTCCCAAAAGTTAGAAATCATTTCTGTTATTTCTCTATCTCTCCCCTGAAGCTACAAATTAAGTTAATTCAATTTTTCTGTAATATCCACAAGAAAACCAAAATCTCTAAGCCAGATTGAACTTTTCAGTTCCGGAATCGGTTCATCACGTTTGAAAAATTTAACTGTGGCAGATCTGATATCAGTAAAGCATTCCAGCACACGTCCCCTACTTAACAACCATCGCACTTCAAAGTAAAGATGTAGTTCCCCGTATTGACAGCCAATTTAATCGGCCAAGGTTTTGAATAATCTTCTTTGTAACGCTTGAGCTCTACTCTTGTTCACAATTTTTACTACCAATTTCATAACGCTGTTTAGCTTTGGAAAATGTCTACATAATGCTTGCTGATGGATAAGGCAGTGGTAAAAGAGAAATTGCACTTTAACCTTTACGACCCACCATAGCTGGAGCGCCATCGGTTGTCAAGACGACCATTTTCGATATTGGAATTTTCTCAGAAGAAATAATATTTTCAAAAGAAGAAAACAAGTTCTGCCCAGTAGTCTGTCCTTTTAGTGGAATACACTTCAAAAGTTCTTCTTTAATCGTACAATCACTGAAAACCATTCTAACAAACACGGTTATCTGAGAGGTTTCAACGACATCTGTGAATTCATCCAGCTGCAGTGAAAAATAAGCACAGTTATCGAAGTCATTTCTTAACTGTAAAACTGTCATTGCTCATTACTTCTACTCCTCTCATCACTGTATCAGCAGAAAGTTGCATAGATTTTATAGCAGACACCATCTCGTCTTTATTTCTAAAGTTGGCAAATAATGAATCTGCAAAAACGACTGTTTTATCATTTCCCCATCTTCATAAGGTTTCTTCTTATGTGTAATTATCTGGGTATGATGCTTCAGTTGCAGCCTTACTTTTGTCAATTGTTTTTAAATACATTGTCTATTGTCCAATTAATTGATTTTTTAGTTGTTTCAGTTTTCCGTAGTGGTGGCAGAACATAATCGGAATGATTTTTCAAAATTCGAATGTATAGTTTTATAGTGGCTCTCTATGTATTACATAACAAACATACATTTTTAACTTTAAGTTCTGTAAAGAAAAATTGTTCTTTCTATTCCGAATGGGAATGGTATGTCTTTATCTTCCTACTACTGCCCATAATGTTTTTAATTGCTGGCCAACTCTAACCCATCCACCGGACTTTGTGCGTTTAGTTTTAAACTGAGCGCACTGTCGCCGCGTCTTGTATATTTATTCCATTTAAAGTAATAGAGATCGTTCTCGAACAGATCGCTCACCGCAGTGATGCCGCTGTTTGTGTTTATTAAGAGGATTTATAAAATTTACGGAATCTTCTATGATTTTTACACCTTTTTAAAATATGTTGTGAGCCACCATAATTGCCTTTGCGAGCTACCGGTAGCTCGCGATCGACGGGTTGGCGACCAGTAGTCTAGATCGTCTGCCGACGTGGAAGAAGCTTGAAACCATCTGAGAGCAATATTCCAGCGCGGATTTTATACAGAGTGAAAAGGTTTTTTTTTGACACCTACGAAAACCTCGCAGTCATTCGCTACACATCTTACCAAGGCAATGCTTGTAGCATTTCATCACATTGGGTTGCGTTAAATATTCATACCAAAGGCTCAGTCATCCTCTTGTCATCGTCAAAGTAGAAATCGAGTACTAGTTCTTTGGTCTGATGTTACCACCTTGCACCTTGTTTAGTATCATCTGCCTAACTTTTTTCGTACCCTCTTTAGGCAGTTGTCAAAATAATCATGTCTTTGACAATAATACACAAGGAAAGGCACAACCAGTAAAACTGTGCAACGTTCGAGTCCAGGGACACATTGTCTGATTTGAGATGAGTTCTTCGGACGTACATTTCGGTAAGCATACAAAATATTTCAAACACATCTTTTCATGCGAGTTCAACCCTGTAGCACACGAATTGCTTCCAAAAGGTTCACAGGTCTGGTTAATGTCACTCAACGCAACAGCCCTTAGGCCTGTTTCTGTTATACATTCCATTCCTCTGGGCGCTGGTTGAAAGGATAAGCTTCCAACGGTGTTATTTGCATTTGAATGGGTATTACGGTCACTGCTAAATTCAACAAGTGCGCGGTGTGAACGTAATTATAGTGTTACTATGCCTGAAAGATGAGCAATCACTGAATATTTCCATTATTCTACTGTACTGCACGGACTTCCATAATACTTTTAAATTCATGATCATGAATGTCGTAAGTCATGTTTATGAAATGATTTGATCATATTATATTTCTAATAACAGCTCACGGGCTAAATATTAGCTGATAAAGATAGGGTACTTAAATAGGTCATACAGGTGTGAGGTTTGGTATGGGTTTGCCAGGTTCAGGTGCTGCTCGGTTTCCTCTGCCAGGGGAAATTACAGAACGCTTTGGATGTTGACCCGACAGCTTTTGGACGACATGACGTTCCAGGTCTGTGTCACAGTTTACCTTTCCCTCTTGACAATCGCTCTGAAAGAATCTCATCGCAGGATCTATGTCATGATTCTTGGTTATTTCTGGATCCAAGGAAACGTCGGAGCTTTTGCTACGAGTATTGGCATGATATCCTGGATTATGGACTGCTTTACATAGAAATCATTCCAGCAGGTCTATCTATACACATGGAAACCAAACTAGGTCGTTGTTTGCTTAAATCCAATCTTTGAGTACTTAAGACGCTGTGTTCTAGGTTATGTCTGAATATTGATTCGTTGGGCGGCTGCGCGCCCCAATTCCCCAATGACAAATTGGTGCCACCGTGGACAATTGTAGTAGTGTAGTATAGTTGTAGTTGCCGTTTTTCGCGGTTATGTCATCAACGCCGTATGAAATAAGGAAATAGATCGACTCTCCGTACCATCGGCGCAGACTAATCTTCAGCGCATCTGCTAATCTTTCCAGTACACATGAAGTGGTTAACAGTGGACCGCTATCTTCATTCTTTTATTGGAAATAAATTCAGCAGGAGCTGTCGGTCTTCATTGATCGTATTTCCGGGCATTGTACAATTTCATATTGAAAATTAATAACAGGACTAGTCAGATTGCACGCCGATGTCAAGTCAGTTGTCACTTTGACAAATATGATTGAAGTGCATTCATACGTAACGACAAAGTTTTCGAGACGGGGACACACAACTTAAAAACGTATGACTCTGAGCTTACCGAACAAACGTTCACATACAGGGGTAGGTTGCGTGTGTATGTTGAGGGAGATTGAGATATATAGAGGGATACTGGTAGTCTTACTTTGACCCGCCAAGGACGGTGACTACAGGTACATTCAAAACATTTTTCCAAAAATAGGTATTGACCTCGACAATCCGATCATATCGCTCCTATTGTTCGCCAAAGGAGGATTTAAACTGTGGTTTCGTAACCAAGTAAGTGGCTGTTATGTTATCTTAACATTGTTGCCCATACCGAATGTCTACGTATTGCCCTTGTAATAAAATAACATAGTACAGGGTAATACAACGAAACCTTCTAAGGCAGGTTTGTTGTTATCACGCTTATCGTTCTATCGTCGCCTCACACGTCTGAAGCACATCCTTTGCTGCTTCTCTAATGCATATCAGAGTGATTTAATAGACAAAATTACATCAAGTCAACCTGGAGATACAAAAGTGCGTTTCCTGAAACCGAGCTCTTTCGTCGACTCCCTGGAAGCGGAGTGTGCACTTTACACTAGGAAGTTAATTAGGTGAAGAGCGCGCTCCCCGCGCCAAATGTTCCACGTTAATGGACGGCGTTTAGAATATCGAGATCTCTTTCTATATCAACATCATTAGATTTGCTAGTCGGTTACTAGTATAAAGACCATGACAGGTAAAATTACTTTTAAAACCTTCTATGTTCGGTGCCGCCAAACTTCCCACAGAGCATTTTAGTAATATTCAATTCTAGTTGATGGAATCAAAACTAAATTATAATCTGAAAAAAAAATCACAACTACGAAAACATGTCGTTCTTACAAAGCAATAACACTAGGAAACAAAATTAAAATAATTTTTTGTCACATGGACAAAACAAGGTGGTTATTATGTAAAACGTATCCAAAAAGCCGGAAATAGCATTTGATTTTTCTATCACCAACGGTTTTCTTGCAATAAGGCATTTTATATGCTGCTTATACTCGTAAAATATAAGGATATGTGTGTAAGAGTATCTACTAAATAAACACTCTAATAAACATTAATCTCAGAATGTTGTTGTCGATGTTTTACGGCGATATGATGCTTCTGAAGGATCTCTTAACAATGTCCAGCAATAATCAACAAGCAAATTGGCATTCCATTTGCCTTGATAGCGTTTTTCCATAGCAGAAATGCCTTGGTGGTACCGTTCACCATGTTCATCACTTACCGCACCTAAATTTTTCGGAAAAAAATAGAGATGAGAATACAAAAAGTGAATTTTTAGAGACATGTTACGTCCCATTCCTTTATAAGCATTAATTCACTCACAATATCATTATATTGGTCCGCTTTCACATTGCCTAAAAAATTTGCAGCAACTGATTTAAAATAATTCCAAGCTCGTAATTCAGTTTCACTTTCGTATTTGTATGTATATGTACATATATGATTCCTTCATACGAACTGCGTACGCTATAGGTACAGATGGATATTTATTACCATTTTTAAACTAAGCTCAGAGAAATCAATAAACAGGCGCCAATAATTTGGATCATGTTTCTGTCCTAACGCGTTAAACAAATTGGTGACATCGGGACAATATATCAACTCCCTTTCTTGACGGAAACAGTGTGTGAGGTCTTGTTGCCGTTTTCGGTAAAAAGTAATGTTAACATCACCGTGGAGAAGATTCCATCCTTGTAATCTTGACGCTAAAGGTTCTCACTGGGATTTTGACAGATTTAATTCTCGAACTAAGTCGTTAAGTTCGCCCTGTGTGATCAAATACGGCGCTGTTGAACATCCTGGCAGGTCAAACGAAGGATCGGAAATTTTTACGCTTTCTGTACATCATTTTCAGAATCGATGGATTCTGGTAGAACTGGGACAGAAAGTTCATTACTATGCTTAACGGGCCGCAAAGCTGATGGTAAATTAAAATACTTAACAGTATGTTTCGATTTTGATCCAATACCTTTAATATTTGTGAGTCAAAAATAGCAATCAGTAGTATGGTCTCTCGGTTCTCTCCAAACCATTGGTACTGAAAAGGGCATTTTACGATTGTTGCCTCTTAATCAACTCGATAACAACGTTACACAAGTCTTACAACATATATGAGGGGCCCATAGTTTATCTTGGTCGCTAACTTTAATTTTAAAATAAAGTTCGTATGCTTTTAACACAAGGGGAGTAAAAGTACGTTTTTGGGATTTAAAAAGTAGCTCTCCGCGCATATAACAAAACCCGTTCTCACTATTCTCACAATTTCTATGCATTGTCCATTAAGGTAGTCTCGATAACAATAAACTAAAAGTAACACTCCGTTTTAACAAAAATTAACAGTACTCAGAACATCTCAGTACTCTTCAACACAGAAAACGTAACTGACTCGGCTGCTATTAGTTTACTAATGA